CATCATTATCAGCTATCAATAGTTCTCTCTCTCTCCTCTTTCATCTCTTTTTTGCTTAGGGAAGCTCTTGCTAGCTTTGTCCTTCTTTCTGTGAAATTTTAGAATGTGTAGCTCACTCTAAATTCTTTTAGAGGAATTCCATGCTGAGTGGTCACCTGGCTTAGAGCCCTGTGGCCTTATCATTATATGGTTGATAAGAGCACAGATAAGCACTAGATTAGCGAAAAACAGAGACATCCTGCTGGGCTGCTGACTGGCCCGCATGCTCAAATCTTCTGAGGCTTTGGTAGACAGACTTGGGAAGAGCAGCCACTTGAACAGGGAATTCCCTGAAGACGCAGTTGCTTAGAACTTCACAGTGTCTTGTGCAATGCTTCCTTCTCCACAAGCCTTGCTGGGGGTGGCTGCATTCCTTGGCCTCTACCTCCCCTTGTGTCCTATGTTTTTGTCTTTTCATTATCCTTCCTTTTAAGACGTTCCAAAATTCTTCTTTTAACATTTCTCCTTCAATCCTTACTTTTGTTCTTTCTTTTCCCTCTCCCTTTCCTTCTCCTTCTTCATCTTAAGCAGCAGGTTCTTTGGTCATTATTTTAGAGCAGGTCTTCTGGTTACAGATTCTCTCAGTCTTCCTTTGGCTGAGGTTATCCTTACTCCCCCTTCATTTTGGTGGGATGAATTCACTTGATAAAGAATGCAGGGTAGGCAACTGTCTTCTTTTAGCACTAGAAAAATGTTTTATTTCCTCCTTGTCCCTGTGGTTTCTGTTGAGAAATCTGCTGTCATTCCAATTTTTTTCTTTGTACGCAACTGTTTGTCTGTCACTGATTTTAACTTTTGGTTTTGAATTTTCTGAGCCTACGTTGTATTTTGGCATAGGCTTCCTTGGGTCTATTCTATCGGGATTTGCCATCTTCTTGATTCTATATTGGTTTGTCTTTCCCTAAATCCAGACATTTCCCCCTCATGGCTTCTTCAAGCCCTTCTTCACTCCATTTTTTTCTCCTGTTCTCCTGTGATACTTATGTTTGGTGTTTTAGTCTTACCTGTCTTTGAGGTTCTATTAACTTTTTAGGCTCTGTTTTCTCTTGTTTATTAGTTATTTCCTCTGTCCTCTTCATTCTGTTGTTGAGTCCAATGAATTGTTTTGGTTGTTGAATTTTTCTGTTCTAAAATCTTCATTTCATTCTTTTTTGATTGGCTTGTTATTGCTAAATGAGGATAAGAATCCAAATTTTCAAGTTGGGCTTTCCTGACACCACTAGGTATGGAGGAGAACAGTATCTCATTATGATTTATTGGATTTGAAAGCCCAAAATCCCAGGGTAGCTCTCTCTGACACCATGCAGATGGCGTGCAGAATGGCATAGCCTTGTAGTGGGGCCAGGATGGAAGGATGAGCTTCCCATTCAGCCTTTGTGAGTTGAACTATATTTCTTTCCCAGAAGTTTAGACGTAGTATTGTGGTTTTTAACTGAATATTTTTGGTCTTCCTAAGTAATATCTCTCCTGGTAATTTGTCTAGAGAGACACCCTTTAGGGGAAGATATTTTTGTTCCCTTCTCTTGGTATTTTTGGGCAACTCCTTCTTCCTGCATATAGTACAGGATATACAAAACAAAACAAAACAAAGCTCCAGGAAACTTTCTGCCACATTGCTCCTTGACTCCTGATTTGGTTTGTTTTCTTCTCTCAAATATTTTATGATATTCTTATATTTGTTTCACACAAGATATCCAGAATTTTTAGCTATAATTAACAAGAAACATGAGAAGAAGTATGTGGCCTACATCTTATCCCAGGATTCTCTGGCTTTCATTTTAATGGATCTCACTTGGAGGGAGAAGAGTATGGCACAGTAATCCCTCCTAACATTGAGAATAACTGGATTAAAAGTCCTGTTACTCAGGCTGGCCCCCTAATCTAAAAACTAAAGGAGCTAGTGGTACCCAAAACATACAAAGCATCCTGAGAAGGGGAAAGGTGAAAAATAGTCTAAAAAAAAAGGCAGAGGTCATTGTTAATAGTGTACCAGGATTTAAAAGTCACAGTAGTCTTACTGCTCTGTTTAGTTTGATTTTATTTTGTTTCGGTCTGTCCACTCATATCAGATTTGAGGGCACAGACATCTAACCCAAAAATTACAGGTTATATCATGGTAACTATCCTTAATTTCCTATTAACTTAAACTGAAACCCTGTATTACTTACATTGTCTTACTATGACTGATCTTATTTGAGCTGGTTTGTTAGACTGCAGTTTTGCCTTGGCTGATTTTATTCAAATTTAGTATGCTTGATAGTATTGTCTAAGAGTAGAGGCAACTACTCTGAAGATGACAAGATGGGAACGATATCCATTCTAGTTTTGATTATTAACCGCTTTCAAGTCCTACAATGTCTTCAAAGTTGTGTTTTTATAAAAATAGCTATGTAATACTATGCTTAACTATATTAAGCCTGATGATTTGGACAAGTCTATTGAGAATAACAAGAGAAAGCATAGTAACTACGGTAGATCACCTAATGTGGCTTTATGTGTCTTTTCCATTGCATGTTTTCCTAGGAATTTGTTTTATTGTGTTGTTATGATCTGTTTTTCCCTATAATACAGAGAGGATAGATACACATGTAGAAATTCACACATGGAAGAATTTTTTAAACTATTTACAGGAACAGATTATATAATGCATGATGTAATGAACAGATACTCTGAAGAAGAGACATGAAGAAACCCAATGCTAATTCTGTAGCATTATGATATAAAATCTAGCAAAACTATTATTCACTGTTCAGAGTGATATTAGTCTAGTCTCTTAAGTTCAATTTCAGCATATGTAAAGATAAGGACAGCTACTACGAAGAGAATGAGAGGCATTATGGTAGTCATTATTGACTTCCCCAATGTCAGGTCTTGAAGACCTAAAAAGCCTTCATCATCCTGTAATGATTTTATTAGTTCTATAATATGCAGTATGTATTCAATGCGTATGAAGATGGGGACAACTATTTGGAAGAAAACTAGAGACAATAAGATAGACAGTGAAGATCTCCAGTGGACTTGCTTTGAAATCCGTATTTCTTTAAATTGTTTCTTTATGAACTGTTTTGTTTTGGTATGTTTAATCTTACCCTCTTTAAGATAAAAAACAAGTGTGTAGGACTAATAACCATATTACTAAGTTTTGTTGGATCATTGAGCAGAACTGTTGGCAGTGTCACTATTTGAATGTCACTTTGTATGCTTTAATTTTGTAACCTGAAAAACTATTTCTAAGATGACAATATGTAACTTATCAACTAGTGATTTATTACTGTTTATTTTTCTGTAATTCTGTATTGTTTCTACCCTTTTTGTCTGTTTTTTTTTTCTCTTTAAATAAAAAAAATTTAGAAAAAAAATCCTGTATCTGATGACTGTTTTATCACTCACAAGATTGTTGAAGTGGAAAAAAAATGACGCTGGCACTCTAAATGATTAATTTTACAGAGGAAGAAACTGACACTTTGAGACGTTTATCTCTTGGATTTACCACTCAAGGCTCCATGTAGATCCAACTAGCACTTCTCAAAAGCTAGTTAGCTTTTGCGCACCTTGTGCTTTATTAAAATGAACATTCTGATGCAGTAAGTCTGGAAAAAGGCCTGAACTCCTACAGTTTTAACAAGTGCTGGGAGGTGGGCTGAATCTCCCGTGCTTTAACTGACAATGTTCTTAAGCAGTCACTCCCCTTACAGTTCTATCTGCTGCTTAATGAATTAGTTGTACTCTTTCACCAAGGAAATGAATAGTATTTGAGGATTTATGCATCTAAGCATCTGTGACCCTGGTATTGCAGGAGTACAGGGTATTGTAAATGGTATAGAGATACAGAGGAGAGAGCAAAGGGACCTATCCAGAGACCATATTTTTGTTGGCTTTGTACAATATTTGCTGCCTTCAAAACTACAGTAATTTTGGTAAAAACAATGAAAAAGCATTTAAACAACTCTGTAGCTGTTTAGCTGTTTGAATAATCCTCTTGGGGTTCCAGGTTAAGTATCTTTCCCCATCTCAGAAAGGTAAATTGACATTCTTTTCCTGTAATTTTAAGGAGTGCATGCCCTCAGAAGTAATAATTTAGGGCACAAAGGTTGCAGTTCCCAGGCTAAGCATGAAAGTGACCAGCAAATGTGCAACTTGATCCATGTCTGCTTTGCTGTAGTCTAGCAGGAAGGTAATTGAGTAGGCTTGGACTTTGCTCCTGGGTCCTCTATGAACTTTATAAGCAGTCTTAATTTCTTTATGATGAAAGTATTAAAAAGTTTAATGATACATGAGATAAAGCCTGTTTAAAAATATACAGCAATGTAGAAATTTACACTAATGCTATATTCAATGGTCTGACTAGCAAACATCCCTGGGAATTGAACTGCAGCCTGGACCCTACTCACTGAAATTTTCAGCTGTGGAAGATCCAGCAATCAATTTCCAAATAAATAGAATTGGTTCAAAATCCCTAGCTATCACTTGGGAACTTTCTCTATGAAATATTCACTGAATTTGATATCACTCTTGAATTTAAGATTCTATCTCTCTGAACAAGTATACAAAATACAATTTGAGGAGATACACTCCATGTTTTTCAGTGTCACTGATCATGTTATCAACATTGCCACTGAGCTTTACCCATTTCTCTATAGCTATGTAGATAGAGTTCCACAAGACAGAGAGAAAGAGAGAGAGAGAGAGAGAGAGAGAGAGAGAGAGAGAGAGATGGGTGTGAGTTTGCATACATGGGTGTGTGAATGTTAGAGAAAGAGGAAGGAAGGTAGTCAGGACTAAATGTTGGTGTGGAGAAGGACAAAAATATCAAGCCAAATACTGAAAATGTGCCATTGGTTATTGACACTTTGAGTGCATTTGTGAATTCAGGGTCTATTGACAGAACAGAGCCCATGTCGGTTTTGCAAGAACATCTAATTATGAAAAGGCTTCTTAGGCTACCTCAGTCTCACCCCATCTGCTTGTAACCTCTTTCTACCTCGGGTAGGGATCTGAGCTTCTGACGGTGGGATTAGGAAGCATAAAGGTATTACAGAGAGATGCCTCGGGTTGCAAAGAGCCTCTCATCCACTGTGAAGAAAGCAACCAGGCAGCTTACAGGAAAGTTTTCGGCTCCGTGAGTATTTCTCAGTTTCTGCTGGGCTTGAGCTGCGCATCAAGGAAGAGTGTGGGAGGGCTGATCTGGCTCTAGAGCAAGTGGGAAGAGGGAATGCTCTGGACCTGTGAGCTGTCCTGGGGCGGGGTTTAAGATGTGGGAGAGAACACGAAGGAAATCTTCCCAAACCACCTTCTAATGCCATGTGACAAGCTAATGAGGGGAACTTGTTATACAAGGTCACTGCAAACCTTGATTACCAAATTCATTTGGAAGGGACTCCAAACAGACCCTCCTCTTTGTGGATTCATAGCAAACAGCTTTCTGGGAAAGGAGAGATCTGGGACACTAAAGAACCACAGAGAACATTCGTTGCTCCTAGGATGTGCTTGCAAACTTGGCCCAGGCACTTGCAAGTGTGAGGATAAGTGAGTAGAGAGTGAGCACAGAAGTGACCACAGGCACTGTGGGTGGCTCGGTCTCCTCCCGCTGAGGTTAAATTGTTTGTTGTTTGTTTCCTTCTGAAGCAAGGTAATTGCTAGAGTTTTTTAAAAATGGCTTTGGTTTGGGTCTTTCTTGATCCTCCAAACAACTTATTTCTCTCTGCCTCAGTGGGACTGTGATGCTGCCCAACTCCAGTATAGAAGAAACATTACTGCTCCTCCTGTTCCCCTCCACGCCTCTTTACAGTCCATCAGCAATGGAATCGTCTGTCTGACTAGATCTTTGTTGAGAATAAGGGAACTTGGAAGTCTAGTGTGACAGGACAGCATTAGACAGCCCATCTGAAGGACTTTCTACAGTTGTTTTCCTCCCTGGAGTTTGTGGAAGCTGATCTGCTGTGGCTTTGTGCTGCTGAGCCATTTGCTTTGGGTCTAAGGTGACTCTCAGTTCACTACCAAACTCCGCCTGAACCAACTACTTTGCTACCTCCACTTTTAAAAATTATTATTTCAAAGAAAAAAAAAAGACAATGCAAACAATAGCACAAAATTTCAAAAGAAAGTTGTAGCAGAGAAACAATGGTTAGTACTAGTATATTGTTATTTTCAAAGTAGTTGGTTGTGTTACAAGACACAGGCAGGAAAAACTGATCAAACAATATAGGCACAAACCTTTCTTTTGAACTAATCGAAGGAAAAATAAATCAATAATATACATAAAATTAATATATATGTATATATACACACAACAATTAAGATAGTTATGTATCCACTTTTTCTGCAGAAGAGCAGTTTGTAATCTTTAAAAGGGAAAGGGTGAACATTGCATAAAAGAGGAAAATATTCTACTTCACAGTGAAATTAATTACTTGACAGTTTAGAGGGAAAAACACAAACCTCCTCTTATAGTGAAAATCAATAGTGATAGGAGATGGGCTACGTGGCTCCAATATGCCCTGGGGATTTCTAGGAAAAGCATGGTTAGATGAATTTAGCCTTCGGTGCATCTCTGCTTAAACTATCTTCCATGGAAGGAAAAGGTCATACTTGTTTTGCTTTTCCTAAAGGCCTTGCAAAGAGCCCATAGATCTATGATAAATAAGATAAATCTATGATAGAACCCCTATAGGAATTATTTGGATTGAATACTATTAAAAATGAAACATTCAATACACAGAATAGAAAGTGTTATTTATAGTGCAAATTCCAGGAGTCAACAGCATCCAGTGACCAACCTGACAGCTATTATGTAGCACTTTCCAAGGAGTATTTTATGTAATGTATCACACCTAGACATGAACTCTAGAAGTGCAACGTCAAAATTATATAAACATGCAGAGGAAACATATGAAAAAAGGGGAAGTGAAATCAGTATAATATGAAAGTCAAATGTGATTTAATTTCTCAGAGTTACTTTTAGAGGTGTCAAAAATTCTAGGAAGGTTTCTTAAGACAGAATTCTGAGACCAAAAATAAATTAATGGTAGGGTCATTTGAGAGAGTCAGAGGGTGACCTGTAAAGATACAATTTGAGTTTCTGATAAATAACAAAGTTTTTAAGTGTAAGTATGTACTCTGGAATATATTTTCACTAAAACATAATTTGTTGCTTATTTGAAATTCAAATTTAACTAGGTGTCTTATGTTTTTATTTGCTAAATTTGGGGATCTTACTCTTAATAGGCTCTCTAGATGAAAGAAATGATTTGGTGCATCCTTACTGCTTTGGAAGAATTGGAGAGTTTGCCTTGATCTGGGAGAAACTTTCCAGCTTTTCCTGGGAGGTGGGCACAGTCAGGATGTATCTGTTGGTGATGGTGCCCTCTGATTGCAATGGTGCTCTGGGTGCCCATCCCCAATTCCCATGATTCCAATTGCCACATTTGGAAGACGGACAAGTCTTGCCTGTTGACAGGGATAGAGAGAACCCACAGCATGAGTATTAGAAGCAGTAATCAGAGCAGACAGTTTATTTCCTGAAGTCACAGAGGACTTTGTGAGGCGAGGACCAGATGGTGCCTTCTCTGAGGTCTGAGAGAAATCACAGGCTCAGGATCTCATCACACAAGGTTCAGAATATTTACTGAATTCTTCATTAATTTATTTACTCACTCTATCAATGTAATTCATATGCATTCTCCCCATGTGTCCAGCACTTCTGTAGGTGCTAAATGTATGGAAGTAGACCCATGTTGAAAAACATCTCATGAAGCACATCCCAGTAGGGATAGAGACAACATTCGTAGCGTGAGAAAGTAATTCAGAGACCTGGCAAAGTTCACCATTCCGTGCACCAGCTTATACATCAGTGTATTTCTTTTGAGCATGTGTGGACTGGCAAGAAAAAATAACTATACAAATAGAGGTCATAAATTAAAAAATAAGGTCAAAAATATATTGAAAATAAAGACAGTAAGTTAAACCTAGTTTTGAAAGTCCTAAGAAAAAGTTCTGAATTTGAAGTTACATAATAGAAGAGGAGAGGGATGTGCACTGATGTGGGAAAAAAGAAAAGTAATGAACCTGAGCAAAGATGGCCAGGGAGCTGGAGCTAAGAATATTAGCACAAATCCGTACCAGGTGAACTAAGGAATCCTACGTAAACACAGCCTGCAGCCCTGGCGTCTGAAAGGGTTGGCTCAGGGTAAGAAGTTAAGGCTATTGGAAATGCTCTGGAGCTTTTCAGAATCTTCCTTCGCAGGGTAAGTTTTGTTAACTGTTGTAGAAGAAAAGGATAAAGAAAAAATGTAAATCTTAGTGTATTTAACATTTTAAAATGCATTCTTGTGAATAATGTTCTCTTATTTATATTTAAAGGACAATGTACATGTCTGGGAACAACGTAGTACATAGTCCATCATTTAGATAGGAGAAAATGTTGGAATCTGGGTTAGAAGAACCTGATGTCTGCAGATATACAGAGGAATATGTAAATATGGAAGGTTTCAAGAACCAATGAGAGCTATTAAATAAACTGTAGCTATGTATCAGTTAGTTCATTTCTCTCCCTTTGCAAATGGTGAGACTGGTGGTTGTGGAGAAGTATGATGTTATGATAAATTTACATGCCATGCTAGTGGAAGATTTATTGGAATAACATATACCTAAATTTTCAAGTATTTAAATCTCTCAATGATCTGGGTTCTATATATTGAAAGTCCCCTTGATTTATACAGTGTTTTCTTCAAGTTTCTTTAAATACAATGATCTTTCCCTTTTTGAGCTAATATAAAGTACCGGGCTTTATCAAAGCACTGTCTTGCCCAGTGACTTGAAGGTCTTCCTTTCTCCTCTCATTGTTTTAGGAAGCCTGAAAGAGAAACATCAGTCACCCAGGAGTGGTCAAAATGAGTGACAACGCTACCTTGGCTCCTCCAGCACCAAACCAGGGTCCCACCACCCCCCGCAAAGGGCCACCCAAGTTTAAGCAGAGGCAGACTCGCCAGTTCAAGAGCAAGCCTCCAAAGAAAGGTGTGAAAGGGTAAGACCAACACGAGAGAGAAAGCTTTCCATTATTCTCATTTGCCATAAGACTCCTTTGGTCTTGAGAAACTAATGCTCATAATATTAAACAGACTTATAAAAATTTCTGTTCCACCCTCTGTTTTCCTGTCCAATCTAGTATTTGCAGAATTATATCTTTAGCCCTGGAATCCATTCCCTCTCAGCACCCAGATACAAGGGCAAATTTAGCATGCAAAAGGATACCTTTTATGATAACTTTTGATTTGGACTTCTGGTCTTTTTTGTGACCAGACTTTTGTCTTGACACACTCTGTACTTTGGATCTGAAATATTGAATCACTGGTAATTACCAGAAAACACAGTTCATTTTTGTGACTTTAAATCTTACGTCACCAGTTGTCATTTTTGTCTCCTTGTTCTTGACAAAATCCTATTCCCTGTCAACACATCCTGCTACTATGTAAATTTCTTTTTGAAGCCTTTACTGATTCAAACTGACTTCATCATTACTTTCATATTTGTATATTATAGTATTTAAACTTTCACAACTTGTGTTAATTTATACATTTATTTACATGTGTTCTTTAAGACTAAAAGCCCTCAGAGATTTTTTAGTTTTTTCCTTGAACTTTCTGTGCCTATCGTGATGCCTTCTGCGTAATAGATGCTTAATTAATCCTTGTGAAGAAGTGAACAAACAGATAAATGAATCATTTTAATGCTTTTTAAATGACTCAGATACTATTTGAAAAGTGAAGGTTGATTATTGTGTCACTGTAATCAATCTCTCTGGCTTTCTCTTATCTTCCTCTAAGTTTCTGATAGGGAGAAATCTCTTCTCTCTGGAATACACTGCATCCTGCTGAGATGACATTTTCCCTGCTTAACTACAATGCCAATAAAAATGATTTCTCAAATACAAACACTTAAGCTTCTTCTTCTAGCCCATTAGGTCAAGAAATTCTCCATGTGAGTAACTTCAGGATCATTTTACTCTGATCTCAATTAAACTTTATTTCATTTATTTGTTTTCCTGTAGGTTTGGAGATGACATTCCAGGCATGGAGGGGCTAGGGACAGGTGAGCAACACACACCTAAGAAAGAACTTTGTATTTAGAGTTTCACCTTTTTGTACATTTCAGGCCTTAAGGAGCAGTTGAAGGTTCTCGTAAGTACCCATAAAAGGCAGCAGGTTCCATGATGCCACAGAAATTTGAAGATATGATTTACTCTTCCAAATAAGTACATATGTGACCAGATGCAAAAACTCTAAGAGAAATCAGGGTAGGCCCAAAGTTGAATGAATCTTTCTGGTTTGCTAAGCAACGTTAAGGGGATACAATGCTGAGTTGTAGGTTTTTATGGAAGAAAGAGTCTCAAGAGTTTGTCTAGCCCAACTTTATTTTTCAGAAGAGGGATATGAGATGGAGAGGAATTAAGCCCCAATCCGAGGCCACAGAGTGAGGTATTGGAAATAGGGGTGGGGCCTGGGGAACCTTTCTTCTGTACCAGCCAAACCAACTTCCTCTATTTACATACCCGCTAGCACCCACTGGGGAAGCCTTTGGTCTGAGCGCATTTGATACAGTCTGATTGGCTAGAATATCCGCATTCATTAGATAATAACTGTAATCACTGAATTTTTAAAAAAAAAAACCAACAGACTATTTTTTAGAGAAATTTTAGATTTATAGAAAAATTAAGTGGCAAATCCAGATACTTCTTATACACCCCCCACCTTTCCTTCCTCTTGTATATACTTCCCTTTTATTAACATCTGAATTAGTCTGGCATGTGTGTCCTATTTGATGCACTAGTAATTATACATTATTATTATATTCACTGAAGTCCAAACTTGTGTAACTTGAGTTTATTATTTGTTAGATATATTTCCTGAGGGTTTTAAAAATGCACAACATACCCACCATGTAGAATAGTTTCACTGTCCTAGACATTCTCTGTGCTACTTTTGTTTATATCTCTCCCCTACTTCTCAAAAAAAATTCCTTTACCACACCTTAGTTTTGCCTTTTCTACAATGTCATACAGTTAGAATTATGGAGTAGAGTCTTTCCATGCCGGTTTCTTTGAAAGATTCCTATATATTTTTATATGACAATAAGTAACTACTATATAATATTCCATCGTGCAAATGTACCATGCTTTATCCAATTGAAGGGCATCTTGTTTTCTTCTAAACTTTGGCAATAATGAAAAAAACTGCTATACACATTCATGTGCAAGCTTTGGTATAGACACCCAAGTTTTGAACCCATCCAACACAGTTAATAAATGGTGATACTCCTCATGCTAAGTGTCTGACCAGATAATCATGAATGTGTTTGCATTTTCTACTAAAATACCACTTCCAGGAACTCAAATGGATCTTTTATCCCCTTCATAAAAAGCTATTTCCTAGGTCAACTGCTTTTGTAATTTGGCTAGAAACGTTCAGGCCAGCAAATTTGTTCTAGATTCTGAAAGATAGATTTCACTTTACTGGCGCATTTGAGGTAATATAAAGAGATTTATACTGGTGGAAGTTCTGCAGTATGTGACCTGGTTCTAGTCTCATCTACATAATTGTGTTTTCCTGCTAGTTTTTTAAAGTCCCTGCCTATTGGTCAGCTTCTCTCTACATGGAGATAATAACGTTTTATCTAGAGCAAAAAGGTTGAACTAGATGATGCGTTGAGATTGCTTCTCAGTATGTGACTTGATGCAGGAATTTCAAAATGCAAAGGAAGTGAGGAGAGCAAGTCAGATCAGTTCAAACAGCTCACGTGGTCTTGTAGGAAGCCCACAAGACCACAGATTCCCAGACCACAGGACCTAAAGTGTTACTGCTTCTTGCTTCAGTCCTTGGCTGGATCAGAATTCCACTTTGCTCTTTCTTTGGTGGTTGGTCTGCGGGAGTTTCAGTGAGTTTTACTCCCAGCATATTCCCAATCAAACCATGGTCACCTCTGCAAAGAGGTTGCAAAATGAAACCAACAGAGATACTTGTGGCTAGTGATGATCCCCCACTGATCTCATTCTTTTTGGGCTACAAGGCATTCTAGACAACTTCCCAGGTATAAGAGAGTGCAGTGAGATGCCTCTGCCTGAAGGGTGACTTTTGAGCAGAAGAGCTGTACTTGGGGGTCCACTGGCTTACATGTTTTTTTTTTTTTTTTTTTTTTTTTTTTTTTTTTTGTCTCTTGCAGATATCACGGTGATCTGTCCCTGGGAGGCATTCAGCCACCTGGAATTACATGAGCTCGCTCAGTTTGGGATTATCTAAGACACCAGAGGCTCTGCCTAAAGCATCTCACTCATCAGCATCTTCTCTAAAGTTGGTTACTTTGCCAAAGCTGGCAAAGAATCTGGAAATTTGGTAGTCACAAGTAGTTTTGGGGGGCTTATGTGGCCATTTCTGATCAGTTACTATTGAGTTCTCATAGTGTTAGAATCACTCTTGCAGTAAGGCTCAGCAAGAAATAGTAAATGAAAATCTTTATCTGTTGGGAGCATTTCAGGTTTTTCCACCTTTTCCTATCAGCTGGTCAGAAGTCATCAGCATTTCTTTATGTTTTGTGTAAGTTTCCTAAATTTATTTTTGTGAAGCATTCATTGTAATTAGCAGTAGACCTCTAACACTTATGTCACATTCCTTCCCTTTTTATTTAATAAAGGAGATATTTCCCTTTAATCTCATGATGTTGTATTTAAATGTGTTGATTATCTGACACCCTACTCTGAGAACCAATTAAATAAAGAAGGCATAGTCACATAGGAAACAGGACCAGTGCCTGCCGAAGGACACAGGGTTACGGTTCAAGACCTGATTCTACTTTGAAAATTGATAAGTCACGTACTTTCAGGATCTATTCTGCATTGAACTAGGTTAAGATAGGGGTCTCAGGTAGCTCTAAGTTGTGTAGTTCTAGGCTGCTAGAAGACTTCAGACAAATTCAGAATGCTTGGCAAATTGAACTTTCTTTTTGGTGCTCTGGTTCAGGAAAGTTCCCTTTCACAATATCCTTCTGTCCAGTGGCCAAAGGTGAGGACAGTGAAGTATTTCTATAGTCACTGACCGGCTCTGTGCATCTGTACATATGTATAACAAATCACTTTTCAGTGGTCAGCTGGAAAGATTCGTCTACTATCAGATGCAATGGATAGGTGGCTGTACCTTTTAACTAAAATGATGGTTTGCTTCACCTCTGATGTTGTGTCAAATTTAATGTGCACATAGCTATCTTTTCTCAATACTTTTAAGGCAATTGTGAAATTCAAATGTTGCCTCTGTCTGATTTGGATGCTTTGGTACTAACAGTATGAATTTCTTCATTTTAGTTTTGTAATCTGTGGTAAAGGAATGGAGTAAATTAACTGAAAAGAGAAGAAGTGAGATAAGAAAAAGAGTCAGGTTCTAGTCCAGACTTTAACAGTAAGTCACTCTGTGATTTGGGTAAAGACCGCATCCTGTGGATCTTTTGATTTGCCTGAAGATTCACCAACGTGAGGTTCATATAAGTCATAAATTCTAGGACTTTGAGGATCCCTAAGAGTGAGAATTAGGGCAAGCCAATGGCTTCTAATGCAGGGACTGTGTTAATTATTTTGCACAAATGACAAAGTTGTCTTCTGGTCAGAAAACTACAAGTACAAAGGAGAGAACAAGGCATAGATTCAAAAGTGGAACTATGACATGCAAGGAGGCACTGTGGTAATATGCACTTCCCTCTTCAGGAGGAAGCCTTGCTGTCAGCCGTGCACCTGTGTCCCCTCCTGCCACAGCCAGCCCTGCCCCTGAGAGTCAGGTGCTGCTCTGGACAGCCAGTCTTCTGTCTCTGCTTATTCACCTCAGGGTATCTCTTGGTTGAGGAGTCTACTGAGTCCTCCACTGGATGAGACTCTGGTCCACAGCTGAATTACTTTGCAAAGGTGTTCTAAACTGGAAGCAATAATACTGACATAACAGAATGCCTCAAAAAGAACACATTTTCAATGGTCAAGATGGAGAAGGAGTTGGAATCAAGCCTCATGAGGAACAACTGAAAGAACTAATGATACTCATCCTAGAAGAGAAAATGATAACTGCCAACAAATATTTGCAAACTTTTAACAATGAAGCAGGCTGAAGCTGACCTTGATCATGTAGGATCCCAGCATTGAGTGGTGAGATGGTGTTGATATAATTTAAATCACCTTCCAACTCTAAAATTTTATTATTTCTATTCCTAAATTCTGATTTTATCACATATTATTTTTAGTAGGAAATAAGAAATTCCTTAATATATAAAAGCATACATGATAGGGATGAAAAGTATTGGTCCAGACCCAATAAGGTGCCAAATTCAAACTGGGTAATTGAACAAAGTTTAACAGAAGGGCTATTTAGAAAGTCTTAGAAAGAGTTTATATGGTCTACAGATGCCAATGCAGTAACCAGGGGTCCTAAATTACCCTGAAAGCTCACACTGAAGAAAGGATCTGCTGACAACACTGGAACACAGTAGAGGAGCACAGTGCACAGTGAGCTTGTGGGTCATCAGGAGGGGCTCCTGTGGAAGCCGAAAGCTATCTGGTTGTTGGTTGCTTGTTTGCTTTCCTGTTGATACTTCCCATTGGCTATATCCAGCCGGAAGTCACTGATGAAGCTATTAAAGTGCATCTTTTACAGAAAAGAACAGGTTAGGAAGGGTAGGAAGTAGACCCGAGGGGCAAAGGCTGACCTCCAGTCAGCACAGGTATCAGAGAGCAGATGCTATTGCCAATCAGTGACTTTCCACTGCAGTCTCCATGTGGTATATGTGGGTCAAATTCTCCAAAGGTGGTTATGGTGTGGGCCACTGGAACGGAGAAAGGGTGAGACTCAACAAGAACTACACAGACAAAAGTGGACAACAGCAGAAATGAATTTTTATCAAAATTTAGGATTTGGAGAAATTTGTGAAATATTCAGATGCTTTCAGATAACAGGAGACTTTTCTGTGAAAAGCACACAAAATTTGGACCCCACTCCAGGTTTTATGAATTAAAATCTCTGAGGGAGATATCATGAAATCTATTTTTAATAAGGACTCCAGGTTATTCTGATGTTCATGCTGTTTTGAAAAGATCGTTGCTATGGTCCAAGCTTACAGTTTACATGTTAGGAATTAGCTAATTTTTAAAAAACATTTTGTATCAGGTCAGACTAATTTTATAAATACTAGGTTTCAATGTGGTGTTTTCATTCATGCATGTAACGTTTGATCATATTCTGTTCCCATTACCCACTCCTTCCCCTTATTCCTGTCCTTTTGTCTACTGACAGTCTCCCTTCTACTTTCTTCCCGTTTCTTTTCTTTCTTTCTTCCTCTTCTCTTTCTCCTTCTTCCTCTCCCTCTCCCTCTCCTCCTTCTCCTTCTAGATTTCATGTAATAGGGAAAACATCCAACGCTAGTCTTTCAGAGTTTGGTTTATTTTGCTTAATATGATGGCCTGCAGTTCCATCCCTTGGGATGACATAATTTATTCTTGGGAATGACATAATTTATTCTCTTTTGTGTCTGGATAACACTCCCTTAGGCATATGCCCCTTCATCTGTTGAAGGATATCTAGGCCACTTCTATTATCCTGACTGTTGGTAATTACTGCACGATAAATATGGATATGCAATAAACCTATAGAATTCTGACTTTAAGGATTAGCAGATACAATAGATGTCTCATTATTGCACACAGGCTCAGAGAAATGCTTCCTCAATTGCGGAGAATGTTTGAGGGTTCAGAAGTTAAGTATTGGACTGAAGCCTGTCCAAGAAGTGTGGAGCCAGATGGGGACCCTAATTGCCAAGGGTTAATCTCCTGTTTGTCGTCTCACTTAGGCGCCCTTCCTCCAAAGCCCGCGTCACTTCTGTCCTCCACCGATTTCTCAGACTGGAATAAAAGAGATCAGAGAGGAAGAAAGCTTTTGGTAAAGGCAGGTGGAGGCAGAGACCCGGCTCCTTTGGGTTCCCAGGGCTGGGTGGAAGAGGACCGCATGATTTAGGTATTGCCTCTCCTTCTAGACCTCAGCAGCAGATTGCAAAGAGGAAATGCGCCTCTGGGCGCCACACCCTAGGCAAATATGCAGTGAGCTTGAACAGTTGTCACTGTGCAGCTGATCTCTAGTGTGATAAAGGAAGCTTAGATCTTAAACAGAAGGAAAGAGAGAATATTTTCTCAACAACTAGAGAAGTGAGGGAAGTATACACAGAAGGATAATCAGTAAGGCAAATACTCAGCATTAAAGGAAAAAGCCAATTACCTAAGACTGAATAACACAAAAACTAACGGGAGGAGAGCTAAGCAAATGCGACATTACATTGTCTTGCAGGGAGAAACAAAAGGGTTTATCTTTAGTAGAAACCACAGAGAAAGGCATACAGAAGCCACAAAACTTGTATATGACTAAAAATTACTGAAGAAACTTTTGTGACTCTAAATTACTGGCTGGCCTGTCCTTTTATTGCATGAATGCAGAGTTGGACAGCTGCAAACTGAAGTTGAAAAGCAAGGCTCATAAACTGATTGTCAGCATCAGCCTCGCTCCTTCTTTTGGCAAACTTAATGAGACCAGGTTCTGCCTGGCTGTGATACCAGGTATAGGCTAGATAATCAGCCGATTTGGGCTGACGTTTGGAGAGTAAAGCAAGGATCTTGAGTTAAGTGGTCTCCAAAGTCTCTGTCAACGTAAACTCCAAAAACAAAAAAAGCTTTGAATATATTTCAAGGAGGAACAAACTGTTCTCTCTATGGCCAGAAGTGTTAAGGCGTAGGGCCTGGGTTTCCAGGTCCTTTCAGAATGAGCCTTCAATTCTGCTACTTTCACCCTTCTAGTCAGTGACAAAATCAAGTCATGTACAGTACTGCCACCTACTGTGATGAATGAGAACGTCAGCCCTTCAATGACTGTTTCTATCAGATTTTTTAAAACCTCAGAGCTAATTCTACATTGGTTCCCACTTGATCAACATAACCTATTGTACTGCTTAGTTATAGAAAAGGAACCATTCACAGGATAAACATTAAGAGGTGTAAGACAGGTACAAGGTTAGTCTCACGTTTCATTACACATACAAAGTAGTGTTTCAAAGCTCTGTTCATGTAAATTTCACATAATTCTAGTTACTTAATTTCCTTGATAAGTAAAATTATACGTAATAACTGTTTATTAATTTTAAGTAAGAAATATGTAATCATTTATAGATTAACTTCATACTTAATTGATTTAATAAGTTGTTAGATTATTTTACATAACTTACATTTGATAATTTTTAAAATTTTTTTGCACTTGATAATTTAAGGGTTACTAGATATACTGTTACACTTTAAGATGTTTTTCCCTTTTGATGTACTGTCACATAATTTAAATATAAATTAAACTGAAAATAAAAATCTATCATTGGTTAAGGTACCCTAGCATTTTTGCAATATGCTATCATATTAGACAGCTATATTATTTAATTGAAAGATAATGCCTGTTTTTGAATGTTGAACCAAATCATGTACTGATATTGGATAGATTCGGTTAGTTTCAAAATAAGCTGGAGTTTTCAAAAAGAAAAATATACATATCTTGTTATTTTAATTGAGATAATTTCATTGACCTGAGTAATATCAAGATGGAAAGTGTGAAACACAGGCACAGAAAGTGATAATCAGAACAGGAAAACAGAAGCACA